AAGCTTGTTCCAAGTAGGTGCTTTAGACCACTGAGCCATCTCACCAGCCCCTAATCATTCATTTTTGCCAACCTGGTAGCTTTCAAAATGGCAAGCAAACTGTGTTTGGGTTTGTGTTCTTTAATGAGCATCTAATTACAGGCTCAATTGAGTGTCTTTCTATGAGGCCTTTTTCATAGCCTCTGCTGTTTTCTGACTGGTGAGTCATCTTTCTTTGATCTGAAAGGGCCTTTTATTTATTAGGGAAATTAACTTTCCTCTCATTTTCATCAATGAACTTCTGTCATATGTGCAGTAATGTTTTTGCAGTGTACTGTTTGTCCTTTTTTAGAAACCTTGTTTATGGTATTTTTATTCCATTTATATAGTTTTTCTTTTTACATAGTTAAAGGCATCAATGTTTGCTTTCATGGCGCCTGGAGATGAAAATATTTATACAGCAGAATTCACACAGCCTTTCCACACGTTGTCATAGTTGATTCTGTGGCAGCCTTTGTGGATGGCAAGGAGCATTTTTAGCATCAATTCTTTCTTTTCTTTTTTCTTTTTTCCCAAGGCAGGGTCCCGCTATGCAGTTCAAGCTGGCCTTGAACTCACTACGTGAACCAGGCCGGCCTCAAACTCTCAGCAATCCTTCTGTTTCAGCCTCCCAAGTGCTGCGATTCCAGGCATGTGCCACCATGCCAAGTTAAAAATATGTTTAAATTGTAAAATTGACTCACCGTTCTTAGAAACTAAACTTGCAGCAATATAGAAGACAGAGGGTCTGGGAGGAGACTCATCCTACTCCATAGTCCACGCCCCTTCTCGCATTTGTTCTAAGCACCAATTAGGTGCTGTGGACATACTCTTGCAGGGGGACAGGGACACTTCCCCAGGAGCCGGGCTGTTCCTGTTTCTGCGCCGCTAGGGAGCGCTAGCAGCTGGATAAACGTTTCCACTCAGATTGTCGCCTCACTGCCTGTATTCCAGTCCCAGCGTGGCCGCTGCGTGACTGTGGGCAGGTGTCTTTCCCTCTCTGTGCTTCTGATCTCACCTATAAGACGGGGATAACGGTTTCTTATGCCAGAATAGTGAAACAGTCTTCCTAAAGTGCATCCAAGCGGTGCTGCCCTCGCTTCGATCTGTAGCTTTCGGGATCCACTGCCCACTGCTACCGGACTCGATGTCCAGGGCGAGCCATGAGATGTCACAGCTGAATATCAGGACACCTCTCTCTTTACCCCAGAAGCCCAGAGAGAGGAAGTGCCCTGCCCAAGGTCACCCAGCCCCCATCGGCAGAGCCGCGGAGTCCCAACTCCTAACCCATGACATCACTCGCCTAGGTTCTCGCAGACCACTGCAGCCACTCGCCTGGCCACCTGTGTCGCCGCTCCTGGGCACCAGGGGGCGCTTCCTAGACGCAGCGTAGCTTCGGATGTCCTTGCTCGGCTTGGGTCCGTACTCCTGCAACCGCTGGAAGACGCCGCTTCTTTCGGCTCTTTTCCGTGCTAGAACTGCGCATCTTCCCACCTCTGCCTTCCCACGATCATGCCTGGGTCTCATACCTTGGCCAAGGGTCCCGTTCCCGGCCTGTAGGCTCCCCAATGTCTAGGAAACCTGCCAGGCCACGGGGGCCCGTATCCACTTTCAGGGGTCTCTAAGTCAGACTCCGCGGCGGGATGGGGGCGCTGTCGCCAGGCCCGGACTGCGGGGCTTGCGTCCCGGGGACGCGGAGAGGCGTGGTGCCCGGGGGACGCGCACGGTCCTGGCGCTGTGCGGCTTTAGCCGGCTCCTGGTTCTCTCTGGGCCTATGGGTCCTCCGCGACCCGGACATTGGCGGGGAAGGAGGAGCCCGGGCGGCAGGGGCTGCATTTGCTAGGTGTTGACTCTGGGGTCTCGGGGAAAATGCAGGGGTACCGGTGCCTCGGCATCCACGCCGGGCTTCTGCGTGCCCCGCTTCCACGGCACACTCCCTGCACGCGCCCCGCCGACCCGTGCGCCCCGCACTTGTTCAGGCTCGGGTGACGTCGGCGGCTGGGGCGGCACCCGTCCTCCCCGCCTCCCCACAACACGCGCGCGCGCGCATACACACACATACACACACCTTCCGAAGGGGGAAACTGAGGCCGGGCGCCAAGGTCACGGCGCGCCTGGCGCAGCGGGCAGGAGGGCGGCGCCCGCGAGGCGCAGGGCCGGGGCGCCGGGGTCGGGATCCTTGGCTCCGAGCGCCCCGGGCCCCCCGCCTCCGTGGGGCAGAGCCCGCCTCGGGGACGGCGGGCTCGGCTGCTGCAGGCTGACTGCAAGGTAGGCGCTGCGGAGTGCGGGGATAGCCGGGTCGCGGGGTTTGCTGTGTCTTCCCGGGCGCCCAGAGCTCGCGCTTCGGCGTTCAGGGTCGCAGGCGGGGGTACCGGGCCGCAGTGGCGGGGATTCCGCCGGCTGCAGGCTGAAGGGTGGGAGGGGGACCTGGAGACCCAGCAGCACCCAGAGCGCCAACGCCGGGCTTTCCGGGCCGGAGCTCTGCGGCGGGCGCAGCGGTAAGGACGCAGCCTCCGCGGCTATGCGGACGGCTTCTCCCTAAACCTCGCTAACGCGCCAGGCGCGATCTTGGGGTGGGGGGAGGGCGCTCGGCGCCGCGTCAATGCAGCGCGTCCATGCAGCCTTCGCCTCCTTCACCCGGGCAGGGAACCGAGACCTCGGGGTCGCTCAGCTCCCTCCTTTTCCCTTTTGTCCCTTCCCCCACCCGGTGTTCCCGCCTCCTCGCTGAGAAATCCTGGCGAGTCCAGAGCCTGCGGGCGGGCAGGGAGTGAAGCATCTCCGGAATCCGCCGGGAGCCTGGGGGACGCGCCCAAGGAAAGAAAGGGAAGGGGTGAGAAGCCTTGGCTAGGCCAGAGAGCTAAGCCTTGGGGGCCCTCTGCTCAGACCTCCCCCCCCCCCCACACACACACACAGGGGAGTGGATTTAGGCACCCAGTTTCATCAGGGGGCTGCACAGGCGGAGAGATTAGGCAAGAAAGCCCATTTCAGCAGTCAGCCAGAGGCTAGAACCTTCTGGGCCAGGAGTTTAGAGTGTTATCCCTCACCCCCACCCGGACTAGAGCCGGCTGCCAGGGTGTGTTGGGCAGGATTGGTCAAGGCGGGCTTCCTTGCACCCCTAAAAGTCCTGGGGAAAGCCTCTTACATTTTCCTGCCAGGCAGTTGCCACTTGAAATTGCCAAGCTGTCAGCTGTCACAAGTGATCTGTTCTTGGAGCAAACTGAGTAGAAAGATGACAGTGGGTGTCCCCTCCCCCTGCCCTGTGGAAGGACAGCCCTGCTCTGCCTGGTCAGCCAGGCACGTGGCTCTGAGCATGCTCATTGGGTGGGGGCCAAATGGTGTTGGGCTGGTCCTGCTGTGCCTTTTGGTTTTTGCTTGTTTGTTTGTTTGTTTGGTTGGTTGGTTGGTTGGTTGGTTTTTTGGGACAGAGTCTCATGTAGCTCAGGCTTCCCTTGAATCACAGCAATCCTTGTGCCTCAGCCTCTTTGAGTGCCAAGACTACAGTGTGCACAAGCATGCCCAGGTGCTGGGGTCTGTCTCCACCGGTAGTGGGCACCCAGCCTGTGCAGTGTCCCCTGACCAACTCTGAAGGGAGGCAGCTGACAGAGGTTCGTGGGTCCTTCCCTTGTCCTTAGCATTATTCCCAGCTCCACACATGGACCGGTAAGGTGGATGTCACCCACTTTGGTAGATGGCAGAACCCATGTGCTATCAGAATCTGAAGTGGAGTTGGAAGGGAGAGGAGAGCAGCATCCCTCAACCCCACTGCAAGGTGGGCAAAGAGGAGCTAAGAGGTGCCACAGTGCCCAGAGCCCGGCTGGTGAACATCAGTGCTGGAGAGGCCACTCTGGAGCCCAGAAACTTTGGCCAGAGAGAGGCAGGGACATGTCCAAGGTCACACAGTGCTTTGGGGCTGAAGGACCCTGTCCCCCAGCTCTTTAGCTCTTTGGGCAGCTGCTGCCTGAGGAAGGCTCCAGAGGGCTTGCCCCCTACCCCAGAGGTCCCTGCATTGGTGGGACAAGGTAGGAGGCCAGAGCTGTCCTCTGCAGGGGACTCTGGCTCCTGCTTGGCTTGCAAACATGAAGTAATCTTGAGTCTCATGACTGGAGTTGCCAACATCTTGAGGCTGATTACAGGGCCTGCCGCAGCCAGCCTTGCAGCCTTGCAGGGAGGGGTTTTAGTCCTGTCCTCTCCCCTGGTGTCCAGGGGAAGTGGGACCCCTGTGTTCCACACCAGCCTTCTCACTACTGCTGTGGGCCATGTGCCTAAGCATCCCTTCCTAGGAAGGACATAGCTGTGCTTTGTTTTGATGGTGATCTTCCCATCCCCATCAACTTGAGCTAGAGCTGAATTCTCACTGCTCCAGGGTCCTGGTCCCAGTAATGAGGGGTGGGGCTTGGGCTGATCATTCCCACCAGGAGTGTCAGGACTTTTTGCATGGATGAGGTAGGTAGTAGCCAACCTGCTGGTGAGGTCTGTGTGGCTGGGGTCCCACATGCCACTGTAGCTCATTAGTTTCTGGGGCAGCTTTTCTAGTGTTCCTGTGTCCCCAGTAGAGGCTGTTTGCCCTGTCTTGGCTCCTCAGACTGCACACCCCACCTCGCCTCCTGGAAAACCCATTCATTCCTCATCACTCTTTTCCCTGTCTACAATCTTGGAGTAGCCAGTCCCATCAGGGTACCACTGTCCCTGAACACAGGAAGGACTTGACATCTGACCTCTGGTGACATACCCCCCCCCCTTTTGTGCCATACCAGCACATGGAATGCCAACTTGGAAAGGCAGGCAGCCTGCTGCCACATTCTCAGTGACTCTTCCAAGAGCTGCTGTGTGACACTCTGACAGAGGGAGCCCAATAGCGGTTCCAACCTGGCAGATCTTTCTTAAGTGTCTGTGCCATGCCAGCCCTGGTCACACGGGCTCTCCCGTGTATCAGAGCATTTCATCTGCAAAACCACAGACCCATCCATTAACTGGCAGGGGAGTTCTTGGAGCTGTCCGTTAAAATCCTGATGTGGCCATGCTGGCTAGCACAAGCTGTGGAGGATGATACCACTGGTCTCCGAGAGCCTGGGTGTGCGGGTCTGTGTGCCCAGACATGCTATCCCAGGTGACCCGCTGGTTGGTCCCTGTAAACTATAGTGACAATGAATTGGTGAGCTGTGCACATGAGTGTCCCTCTTGTTGAGACTGTGCCCTCCACCCAGAGCAGTTCCCTCCACTCCAAGCAGAGCAGTGGCTGAGAGCCTACTTTGTGCTTATGTCAGGGGCTAATCTAAGTTTTTCTTGTGCTGGTTGAGCAGAAACACAGAAAACCACACTGTCTTAGAAGGCAGTGAGTTTCCTGTCACTGATGACAAACAAGGTGGGGAGGTAGAGTCACTCCCTGTGTGTAGCTGAGGTTTGGTACCCTGGTAGCCCTTTTGCGCTCCAACAATCCCAGAAACAGTCATTTATTCAGTATTTTACAGTTTTCTTAAATTACTGAGCACTTTGCAGAAAGCTATCATGATGGTAACATAGTTTGGTAAAAATGCCAAGTGCCAGGGTATTTCATTAAAGCCAAGTGCCTAAGAGATTTATGGGAATGGCTATTTATCTTATTTTAATTTTTGGAGACAGGGTTTTTTTTGTTGTTGTTGTTTTTTGTTTTTTGTTTTTGTTTGAGACAGGGCTCTTTATGCAGGTGAAGCTGGCCTCAAACTCACAGCCAGCCTTCTGCCTCAGCCTCTCGAGTGCTGAAATTACAGGCACATACCACCTTCTTCAGCCTTTATAGAAGAATTTCGTGATGTAGCTCAGCCATATGCTGAATTAAGACAGGTCTTGGGGTTTATCCAAGTGTTGGGTATGAAACAAACCAGGAAGGAAACTGAGCATCCTACAGCTGACACCCAAGCAGCAGATGAAGGCCACTGCCTTAGGCCCAAACTTGGGAAGCTGGAAGTGGGAGAGCCAGGCCACTTAGCACTCAGGGCAGGGAAGGGTCTGCTCCCCACCTGAAGCTCCGCTGACCACTACAGAGGACCTGATATCTGCCAGGATATGCAGTTTGAAATAGCCTGGAAGCTATGCAGGGAGCCCTAACCAGCGGCAGACAGCGTCAGGCTCAAGTGAGTGGGTTGTGAGGTTCCTGCAGGCAGGTGGCCTGGGTTCCAATCCAGTTTGTCCACGTCCCAACCTAGAGTAGGACTGGTCAAGGCAGAGACCTTCCCAAGCCTCTATTTTCTCTAAAGTGAGGAGTTGATCCAATGGTCTCCACAAGAAGATAATTCTGTGGCCCTGAAGGCCACACTAAATCAGCAAATAAAGAGGAGAATTTCAGAGCGATGAGTATTGAGAAGAAGTGTTCCACCCTGCTGGGAGTTAGGAGTCTGTGGGGCAGGTTGTGCACACCTAGGTTTTTGTCCTGGCCCTGTGAACTTTGAACTTGCTGGGCAATCCTAGCTGAGTTGTCTCCTGCCTCTGATCCTCTCCATCATCTGGGAAATGAGGGAGCAGGCTGAGCCCCTTGGAGCTCATGGTGGGCAGAGCTTGGCTTCAGTGTGACGTGTAACCTGACCCACCGAAAGGTGACACACATAGAGGCATGGTTTACAGGGGAACAAGACTGCAGGTGTTGGTGCCACCATTGCAGGAGCCCTCCTGGGGAGCCTCTCTTCTTGCTGCTCCCCAAAGATCGTCCCCATCCCGACTGCTGTGACAGTCCTGGCACTGTCCTTCCTGTCCTGCTGCCTGTGCAACCACTATTTGCAATACTGTATGATTTGTTTTTGCTTGTTTTTGAACTGTGTGTAAATAGACTCGGGCTGAGGATAGGCATTTGGCTCAGATTTCTTTTGCTCAAAGTGGCAGCAGCAAGATTCACTGATGGGAGCTGGTGTGTGGGGGCGCACTGCACTCAACTCAGCACTTCTGAGGCTGAGGCAGGAGGATTGTTGCGAGTTCGAGGCCCACCTCAGCTACAAAGTAAGACTCTGCCTCAAAGCCCAAACAAAAACTGGACCACAGTTTGCTTCTCTGATCTGCGACGGGCATGTGGGTTGTTTTCAGGCTTGGGCTGTTCTTGAACCTGTGGTCCTGGTCTTCTTCCGCTTACGCATCTGCCTCAAAGAGCATCTTGGCCCCATTCCTCAAAGAAGACAGGCTGGGGCAGGACGGGGGCTCCTGTGGTCACACTGTCCCGTTCCCGGTGAGCTGGTGGCATTCTTGACCTTGTGTGCTCACCTGGTGTGTGTGTGTGTGTGTGTGTGTGTGTGCGCGCGCGCGCG